TCCCCGTCGCAGCGCGGGCGGTCTGCTCCGCTCGCAGGTCATCCACAGCGGGCACTTCATGGTGTCGTCGCCGCACAGCGACTCGCTGACCCGGCGGCGCGACCAAGAGGGGCCAGTCGGGCTTTCCGACTTCGGGCCGCGCAGCATCGACCCCACACTCACCCGCCTCTTCGAGTGCTTGAGCCTGGCCTACAGGTGAGGGCGGCTCCGAAGCCCGACGGCCTCGACTCTCGGTGGCGGGACCGCGTGCTGGGGCCCTGGGCACCCCACGCGAGCCTGGTCCCCGGCTGCGCCGGGAGACTCCGGCCACAACCTGGGCTTCCCACTCCCCCAACCCTGAGTGTCCTCAGCCGCGACCCTGCCCACTGGCTTCCGACCGACCCGTACACTCCGCACCACGTCACCTCCTCCCCGAGCGCGGACCGCTTGCCCTCGGTAGGCCCCCACCAGGCCTCTCTCCCAGGTCGCGGCTTCTCTCCCCGCAGAGAAATGCCAGGCGTCCCTCGCGCTCCCAGGACTATAGGCCAGCCTGGCTCATCTCCACCGCTTCACCCGGGCCATCCCACCCGATCAGATGTGGCCCTGGACGCCCTTCCCCAGCAGCCCATTGACCCCTCTGTTCCTGCACTGGTACTCCCAGTGCCCAAAGTCGTTCCACTCCTTAGCACCGTCCACTGAAACTGAACCAGTCTCTCATCCGCCTTCCCCCAATTGCCGGGACCCGACTTCGCGATCTGCTAGGTCAAGGGTGGAGGGAGGAGGGTGCCGGGGCGTGCGGAGAAGCTAGCCTTAAAAGTTCCCGGGGAGGACCGGCAGGGGGTGCTGTAGGCCGCAGGGGCTGGTTCGAGGGAGGCCAGGGCTTGCAGACCCGGGTGGCCGCGGGCAGCAGAGCGCCTAAAGCAGTCTGGGATCCCTGCTTAGCGCAGCACAGAACGCGCAGGCCGCACCCGGTTCCCTCTCCACACCCGTGTCCCAGAGGAGGGCGCGAACTGGGGTCCTGGCTCAGTGCCCTGGAGCAAAGTTCTCTGCAGCGAAGGGGCCAGGATAAATTATCAACCGAAAACAGTAGAGGAGAAAGGGGGATCGGCGGCCTTGATCTCATCTCTGTGCAAATATTCCTCTTCCTCCGCGGCGCCTCCTCCCCTTGAGAGAAGCGCTGGCTACAGACCGGTACCTGCCGCCCCACCGGGAGCTGGAGCTGGGGTGCGGATTGCCAAGGAGTTTTGCCTACCCGGTGGCCACCGAGCCACGCGACCCCATTGGCTGGAGGCAAAGTAACCTTGGCCCACAAGTTCTGGCCTCGGGCCCAGGTCATGTTGCAACCTGATCATCCAGGGCGCTAGACCGATGTGGAAAGTTCAAATTCCCGTCCCTTTCTGCCCTCCCCCATTTGGACATCACGAGTCTGCCCGGGACAAAACATCTGAGGTCCTAGGACACCGGATGCGCCCCCTTCTTCCCACGCTCCCCCAAGGGTCTTCATTTCCCACCCATTTCACACCCCTTACACCACAACAGCTCCTCGTGAGCTGGGTAACATCCGCCCCTCAGCCCAGACTATGAGTGGGCGAAAAGGAAGGTTGGTAAGGTGAGGGGCAGAGAATACCCCCCAAATCGCGCCCTAAGAGGCTGGCTGGAGGCTGATATAACCCCAGTTGGGGGCACTGGTGAAGAGAGCTGCTGGATTTTTTCCCACCAAATGCACAGAATGTTAAATCTCCCTATCCTGTCCTGGGTGCCAGCCTGAGCACCGAGGATGGGGGTGGGTCAGCAGAGGAGACTTCCGGTTTCCCCATTTGGTATAGGAAAAAACTGAGGCTCAGACTGGGACAGTGTTTGAACTGCAGTTACAGAGATCTCCTGGAGGAGCCAGAATTGCAGAAGCAGAGTGTCCCAGGGAAGCAGCTGGATGGAAAGGGACCAGGCAGGCAGGCAGGGGGTCCAGAAAGTGGTGGGAGAAACAGGCCAACTTGAGAAGAACAGCCTGCTGCCTTTCACCCTCCTCAGGGCAGTGTGGGCAGGGCGAGGACTTTTCTAGTAGCCTGTGTTCCCTGGTTTCGTGGGTGGAAGCCCCAGGGAGGCAAGTTGTGGAGACTCCAAGAAAGCACTTGTTCATGGTCAGAGCAGGGTAGCTAGGGAAAGAGTGGCCTCCGGAGGGTGGGGCAGCAAAAAGGACCCCTATTGGGGCTACTTTCAAGGGAATTCCTCCATGTGGGGGGGTGGGGGTGGGGTGGGGTGCTGAACCAAGTTCTAAGGCTCTCCCCATCCCATCCCTGAGATTCTGAGCTTCCCATTGGTCACAAGAAGCTCTTGAACCTTGTCCCAGGGCTTTTGCACCAGGCTGGGTCCCACCCCTCACATCCAACCAACCAAATGCTTTCCTCCCAGGCTTGGATGTTGCTTGGGCCACACACCTCAGCAGGGAGATGGTGGAGGGCAGGCACTGGGTGATCACGCGGGGCTGGGAGGTTGCTGGGATACGGGCAGGGGTAACAAACTCAGGAGTTCCCCCACCTGGGTGGACAAAACAAGCTGGCCCAGGAGGGGGCAGAGTCCCCCCACCCCCAGCCATGTCTTCTTACTGGACAGATGGTGTTTATCCAACTGCAGGACAGAAGGGGCCAGCCAACAGGCTAGGGCACTGGCTATATACTTTATTTGGGTAATGAGGCCTGTTATACTCTGGGGTGACAGTCTCCTCCCCCCAGCAGCCATCATTACCCCAAAGCAAACACAGGAGCTTGGAGACCAGAGAGGAGAGGAGACCCAATGATGCATGCACCCAAGGTGCCATAGAGAGAAGAGCTGAGGGGTCAGACTGCCACCTGTCACCCCCAGGAGGATGGAGGGGCCCCTGGAAAGAGCTGCCTGGCCTTCTGCAAGGCTTGGGGTCTCCCCATCTGAGCAGGGGTTGCAGAAGGTGAGCCAGAGGGACGTGTATGCAAACCTGGCTTGTAGACCCCACAGGGTCTAGTGTCCCAGAGCATCTTGACCTCCTGGGTCAGCTTGCTGGTGGTGATAGACTTGGCCTGTGTCCAGCAGGACCCTGAGTCAAACCATCAACTGCATAGAGCCCTTTGCCCTGCAGACTTAGTGGAGCACTAACTGGTGTTAGGCTCAGAGTTAAAATGCCCTGTCTTCTATATACTTCCTGTGGGCCCTTGTGGCCCTAAGAAGGGCACACCACCCAGCTCAGTACACACTGCCAACCTGGGGCTGGAGATGGGCATCTAAAGGGCAGTGAGAAGCGCTCCTGGCTGCTCTGAGGCTGCCCCTTGGGAAGAGTCTTCCTCGCCATCCTGGCACACTGGCCAGGTGAGCCAGTGTGCCCTTGGCCTCTCCTGGTCCAAAGGGGCCAGTGAGACCAAGAAAGTCTTTGCTGTATGAACTGAGGCATTCCCCTTTCCTTTCCTGTCCCTCAGGGTCATCTCTTTCTCTTGTTAAATAAGAAGTGGGCACCATGGTGCACACTTGTAATCCCAGCAGCTTGGGAGGCTGAGGCAGGAGGATCACAAGTTCAAAGCCAGCCTCAGCAACTTAGTGAGACCCTGTCTCTAAATTAATAATAAAAAGGGCTGAGGATGTGGCTCAGTGGTTAAGAGTCCCTGGGTTCAATCCCCAGTACCAAAAAAAAAAAAAGAAAGAAAGAAAAGAAAACACAAATGTGGCAGGCATCAAGGCATCATGACTCATGCCTGTAGTCCCAAGTACTCAGGAGGCTGAGGCAGGAGGATCTTAAGTTTGAGGCCAATCTCTGAAACTTAGAGAGATCCTGTCTGAAAATAAAAAATTAAAAGGGCTGGGAATGTAGCTCGGTGTCAAAGCACTTGCCTAGAATGTGCAAAGCCCTTGGCTCAATTCCTGCAAAAAAAGAAAAGAAGGAAGAGGAAAAGAATTGGGCGACCCTCCCCAGCTGGTCCACAAGACAGATGCCTGTGAGGCCACCCAGGAGGATGCAGTTGTTCTTATCACCATGCTGATAAGCAAGGGTCAGCCTGGATGACAGGCTGGTGTCTGCGGGGAACACGGCATAGAGCCCAGTCTTTAAGGTTAGATGCAGGGCTGGGAGAGCCAGCCACACATGCTTAGTGCATGGGAAGAGGGTGGAGCCAGTTCCTGCAGGAGTCCCCCACCTTTTCCATCCCCACCCCACCCTGACCCATCCTCTCCCTCTGACAGCGGCAAGCTGGTGTCTCCCAAGTGGAAGAACTTCAAAGGCCTCAAGTTGCTCTGCCGAGACAAGATCCGCCTCAACAACGCCATCTGGAGAGCCTGGTATATCCAGTGTGAGTGGGCACCGTGGAGTGGCCTGTCCCCAGCCAGAGGGCTCCACAGGGAAAGCCCCGGAGGCCCTCAGAGCCAGCTCTGGCAGAGTGCTGTGGCGTTTTGGGGAGCTCCCCCTGACTGGGATGTCTGAACTTCTGACTCCCAGAGGGTGCTGGGAAATGTGTCCCAGAGGGTGCTGACCACTGTGAAACCAGAGGGCACCCCTTGGAAGCACTAAGATAGGCTAAGATTATGCGTCAAGTTCAAGGCCCATCCATTCTGGATCCCACTAGTAGAGTCAGGTGCCTTGAATGCCAGGCTAAAGAAGGATATGAAACATCCTCTCAGCCAACTGCATCACTTTATGAATGGGGAAATGGCGGAAGGTCTTGCAGGGGTCTCCACCAGCTTCATTGAAGTCCTTACTGAATACCCAGCAGGTATTTGGTAGATGGGACTCAGAGAAGCCATATAGGGTGGTGGAAGTGACCCTGGCCTTAGAGTTCTCACCCTGTCTCTGCCCCTTGCTGGTTGTGGAACTTCAGGCAACAGGCTTAACCTCTCTGAACCTGTTTATCTATAAAATAAGAGCACCAACCCTACCTTTCATGGTCGATGTGGAGACAATAGATATGAAGGTGCCTGGAATTAAATTCTATACCTGAAGAGGTCACGATTATCCATTTAGGGACAGTCCCCTGTGCAGCAGGGCAGCATAGGCTGAGGATGGGACCAGTCAGCTGAGTGTCAGGACCTTGTCCAGCTCAGTTAGGTCCTGCTGCAAAATGAAAGGCGGCTCTGAGCTGGGAACACACAGCCCAGGAGGGACACATGCCGTCTTCTGTACACTGGCATGTGGATCCCCTCCAAGCAGAGGGAGTGTCATTTTCTGGCTTTCCTTCATCTCTGTGCCAGGCACCTTCATAGAGCCTCTTAGTCAGGGCTTTCCAGCAACTCTGAGTGAGGGGTATGATGGTGCCCATTCTGTGGATGAGCCACTGAGGCTCAGAAAGGCAGAGACGTGTTCAGGTTCACGGAGCTTAAAGACAGCTGGCAGCTGCGCAGCACCCTGCCCCCCACTCCCACTCTCTGAGCACATGCAGGTCGCCCAGCACAGGGGGCGGCCAGGCTGTGCAGGAAAGCAGGAGATGCAGGCCTTTTGGATGCTTTCTCTGGGTCTCTGCCATTTCTGAGAACTTGCATGACAGGTCCCGGCCAAAATGATCAAACCAGGAAGCTGATAAGCCAAGGGGAGTCAGTGTCTCCCCATCCAAGGTCCCCCTTACTCCCAAAGCTGAATGGGGCACAAACCATTTACTCTGCAGAAGTTTCTGATGACCGCTGAGTCGTGATGGCCCCATCCCTGGGGTCCTCACCCAGACAGATTCTGATCTCCAGCTATGGTACAAGTTGCCAGAGGGACCCCAGGTTCTGCATGGCACAGAGCTGGATTTGAACCGAGTCCCAGCAGGTCCTGCCTATGTGTGTGGCCACAGGGAAATCGCCAACCTTCCAGATCCAGAACTTGCTCATCTGAAAAATGGGTGTAATGACAGGTCCCACGCACCAGTTTGCTGTGTGATTTCAGTGAGGCTGTCTGTACCTCCGCAGGAGCCTGTACTCAGAGGGACTCCCTGGATATGAGTAGCTGGGTTTGATCATTATTATTGGATCATGGTGGCAGCATGTGTCAGGAACCCCCTCTTCCTCCAAAACCAAAGGTTTGAAGGTGGGCTGCAGAGGGGTGGAGGGCTGCCTGGCTCACCCGCCCCAGCGGCTTGCCTTTGTCCCCAGTAGGAGAGGCCCTGCTGCCCCTCAGCAGCCTCCTGACCTCCGGGGTCCCTTCTTTCTGCCCTGCCACTCGCTCTCCCTTGCTTGAAGAGCCTCTTGGTTTCCTCGGAGCTCCCAGGGCACTTTGCACCTCTCCTGGGCAGGCGAGAAGGACTTTCCACTTGCACTATCTGTGCTGTGTTTGTTTACTTCCTTATCTCTCCATGGAGCTGAGAGCGCCCTGATTCAACCATGTATCCCTGTCCCAGCATCTGTCCCAGCAAAGGTGCAAAGGAACAAACTTACCAAACAAAGCCTTCCCCAGCCCCAGGAAGCCACACTGTCACAGCCCTTCTGTCCAGAGCACAGGGTCTCCGGGCTAGGCAGGAGAGGCCACTCAACCCTGATTCTCTGGGGGCCCTGGACATACATAACCTTTCCTGGTGGTCATGTTCTCATTTGGGAACTCGAGACAGATACTCTTCAAAGCCTTCCTTGCTCTAAGCCCCTGGGAGTCTATGCATCCAAGGTCCCTTGTGTCCTGTCCAAGCCAGGTTCAGGAGCCAGGACCAAGCCCTTCCTCCAGTCCAATGAGCGTCCACTATGCAGAATATCCTTGAGGGCAGGACTTTGTAAATGGTGCCAAAAGTCCTAATGAATGTCACACTCCAGCAGTCCCCAACTTCCCTGTCCATGTTTGTCCCAGAGAAAATTGGATGAGGCAAGATAGATCCTCATGAACTGGTCCCTCTTGAGGAGTTGGTGATCGTCGTCTTTGCAAGGGTCACCTTTGCTTTGTTTGGTTTGTTTTATTTTTGTAGTGCTGGGGTGGACCCAAGGCATGCTAGGCCAGAGCTCTACCACTGAGCTACGTCTCAGCCCAATTCCCTCTAACAAAGGCCTGCTGGGTGCCACCCTGTCCCAGGGGAGGCAGACCTGCACAGGGCTGACAGGCAGGGTGGAGCATGGGAAGACAAGGCCATGGGGGCTTGGGGAAGGAGGGGCTGCCCCGACGGGTGGGCAGAGGAGGAATGGGCATTCCTGGTAGACTGTGGGCTGTGTGCCTCGGAGGTGGGGCTTATGAAGGAGATGGGAAGGGGGAGAAGCAGGTGGGCCCCAGAGTCGGGGAAGTCCAGTTGAGACCAGGGCATGACTGAGAGAGAGGAGAGGGAGGGGAGGGACGGTGGAAGAAATGTCACAGGTCCTGTGGAACTGATGTGGTCTGTCCACGCATTAGACTGGAATGCTGGGAGTTGGTGGGGAACTTTTGTGGCAAGTTTTGGGACATCTTATTGAGGGTCCCTAGGCAGCTGGGATATGGAGCTGGAGCTGGAAGGGGCAGTGAGAGAGGCTGGGGTGGCACCGTAGAGGAGACAGTGCCCAGAGGTGAGGGGGCAGGAGAGCAGAGAGGGGCTCCTGGAGGAGGTGGGCGGTACATACTGAGGTCTGGGGGGACGGATCCAGTGGTGTGGGGCAGATGCTGAGTTTCAGGAGGTGGAGATGAGAGCGAGGGGTGGAAGTGGAGGGACAAGTGACAATTTCAGAGCTTGAGAGCAAAGCAAAGGGATGCAAAGACAGAGAATTAGCTGGGAGCTGGGTGCAGTGGCACATGCCTATAATCCCAGCAGCTTGGGAGGCTGAAGCAGGAGGATGAAGAATTCAAGACCAGCCTCAGCAACTTAGTGGGGCCTAAGCAACTCAGGGAGACCCGGTCTCTAAACAAAATATTTTAAAAGTGCTGGGGACATGGTCAGTGGTTAAGCGCCCCTGGGTTCAACCCCTAGTACCAAAAAATAGGAAGGGGCTAGAATGTGCTTCTGAGCCAGAGGGAAAGGACCTGGGAGAGGTCAGGATTGGAGACAGAGAGGTGTGGAGGTTGCTAGACAAGGGCTTAGGGAGGTGGCAGGGAGAAAGTGGGCCAGGGCTGGTTTTCTGAGGAGGGAGTGTGCATACCAAGGAGCCAGAGACAGGGGACCCTGCCTGTGACTTGTGGCCTCACAATCTATTCAGCAAACCTTGCCTGTGCCCCTACCAAGCTCCAAAAGAGGACAAAGAAGATCCCAGAGGGCCAGGGGAAGCAGGAAGGCTTCCTGGAGGCAGTGCTTACTCCAGTCTCAAAGTCCAGGCAGGATTTCATAGGGTGTCACTTGAGGCCCAGTTTGTCCTGCCCTCCATCCCCATGGGGGGATGAGGGAGCTAGTGCCCCTCACCTGGCCCCCTTCTCTCAGATGTGGAGCGGAGGAAGAGCCCCGTCTGTGGCTTCGTGACACCCCTGCAGGGGCCAGAGGCTGACGAGCACCGGAAACCGGAGGTAGCTGAGGCGGATGGCCGCCACCCACCTACCCACCTACCCAATCTCTTGTACCAAATTTTTTTTTAAAAAGCCCCCCCCCCTTCTTCGCGCTGGGGGGGAACGGCTGGCCGGGCGGGCAGGGTTTGGATGAGAGTTGGGAACTTGGCGGCAGGGTGCCGATGTCACGATGTCACCCTTCCCACTGAGTCCTGTCCCCTGACCCTCCCCAGGCTGTCGTCCTGGAAGGGAATTACTGGAAGCGGCGCATCGAGGTGGTGATGCGCGAGTACCACAAGTGGCGCATCTACTACAAGAAGCGGGTCAGTGAGGGACCCAGGGCTGGCCCCAGGACTTTCTCCTGCGGTTGCTGGCCACAGACTCTTGGATAGCCCTGGAGGGGCTCCCCGACCCCTGCTCTCTTCATTCAGACCCAGGCTGACAGCGCCACCGTGTGGCCACATGATCTCCTCGCAGACTGCGTACTCTGGGTGGCTGCAGCCTGGGGAGCCCCTGGGAGAAACATTGGGATCCCATTGATGGGGTTGGGAACGGAGGAACTAAGGGGAGGAGGCAAGGGATCCAGCGTCCATCTCTGTGTCCCTGCAGCTCCGAAAGTCCAGCAGAGAAGGGGATCTCTTGGCCCCCAAGCAGGTAGGTGCTTGGGAGACCAGTGGGGACTGGGATCTGCCTGCTTCCACCCAGCTAGCCAGGGCAGATCTGGGGGTGAAGGTGGGTTGTGAGGGGGGTGCAAGTGGTTCAGGCTGGGAAAAACAGAGATCGCAGGAAGAGACCCTTATCTTTTCTGATAAGGGTGTTGGCCATCCTGGTCTGACTCCTGGAGGAAGTTGTTGGAGAGTGATGAGTTGACCTTGGCCTTCCAGGAGGCAAACCTGGTGCCCAGGGAAGGTGAAGTGGTGTATCTCAGAGAGGCCCTCGGCCGGGGGGGCCACTTCATCCCCAAGCAAGGGGTGACTTGCTTGGCTGTCAGTGACCGCTCCATCTCGCTAGGCGGAAGGTGGGTGGCCACCGCCAGAGCGATGGTGCGAGCAACTCTTCTCCAGCGTGGTGCCCGTGCTGCTGGGGGGCCCCGAGGAGGAGACCGGTGGGCGGCAGCTGCTGGACCTGGACTGCTTTTTGTCCGACATCTCCGATACACTCTTCACTATGACACAGCCCAGCCCCTCGCCCCTGCAGCTGCCCCCCGAAGACGGTGAGGGCCTGCATCCATTCAGGAGGCAGGGGAGGGCGGCAGGATGGCCAGGGGAAGGGATGCAGGCGCTGAGGGCCTGTGTCCAGGCAGGAGGCAGGGGAGGGTGGCAGGATGGCCAGGGGAAGGGGTGCAGGCGCTCCTGCCCCTCCACCGCTCCTGATGTCTCTCTGCCCCTCCAGCCTACGTCGGCAATGCTGACATGATCCAGCCAGACCTGACGCCTCTGCAGCCCAGCCTGGATGACTTCATGGAGATCTCAGGTGGGGCAGACCCCTCCCCCAGATGAGGCAGATGGGCAGGGTCAGTGCAAGGAAAGTCTTAGGGTTGACCCTGAGACCCCAGGCCAGTGCAAGGCCCCTCTGGGAGGGCAGATAGTCTGGGTCATTTCTGAAGCATCTTTCTGACCCTCCTTTGTCCAGCTTTGGGATACAGCTAGTGTGGCCTGTCATTAGCACAAGGCCAGATGAAATTCGGGACCAGGAGAGCAGGGACTTTGAAGCTGCAGGCTCCAGGGGCTCCCAGGAAAGCAATGCATGCCAGACTTTCTTGGAGGGGAAAGGGACCTTGATTTGTTTGGGTCTGTTTATTATTTATATAATGCTTTTAAAAAGTATTTATTAAAGAACATGTCAAACATACACAAGTAGAGAGAGAGTCGGTCAACAAACCCCACATGGCCTCCATCCCGACCTGCCAGCTCGCGGCCACGGTTTCACCTGGCCACTTTCCCCCTCCTTCTCCTGTAGTATTTTTAGGAAAATTCCAACCATCAGACCTTGCAAAGCATTTTGGAAAGTAGTTTCCCTGCTTCCTCTCCTGACCCAGGGCCATGAAGTCATCATGTCTTAGCATCCTTTTTTAAAAAATTTGGTACAGGAGATTGAACTCAAGAACTGACCTACTTGCCCAGCAGTTTTTGACAGGATCTTGCTAAGTTTCTTAGGGCCTTGCTAAATTTCTGAGGCTGTCCTCAAACCTGCAATCCTCCCACCTCGATCCCCTGCATGGGATTATAGGTGTGTGCCACTGCACCTGGCCCTGGTGTCCTTCCAGAGATAGAGGTAGGTCCGTATAAGCCAATGTGGACAATTTCTGGTTCTGTTTTCACAGCAGATTCTTCCTCACATTGTTCTCTTCACTGAGCTATAGATCTTGCAGACTGTTCCCTATATGCATGCATTTAGGAGCTCCCAAAGCCATTTTGGGGGATAGACAAACATCAAAGCTCAGGCTGTCTCACTCAAGGCCAGGGGAAAGAGGGAGGGTCCCTGGGATAGAGGCTTAATTTCAGTGACCCCCCCAACTCCTTCCCCACAGGGTCGTGGGCCTGTCACTCAAGAGGAGGAGGCCTATGGGGCGGGGATTAGGGAATGAGGAACCACCCCTACCCCTGCCCCAGCCCTGGGCTGGGTGGGGGCTGCCGGGGGCAGAAGTGGATGGAAGTGCCCTGGGAGCAGACCAGCCTGGGAGGGCGGCAGCCCTGCCTGGGTACCCAAGCACCCACCACAGGTAGGAGCCCAGCTGGGTCCCTTGAGGCTCCCAGTGAGACCCAGACAGACTGGGGCTGGGCATCGGCTTCTCTCAGTCCAAGGTAGCAGCTGGGTGGGGGCAATTGTGGGTCATGCCGAGCAGGGCTAGTGTGGCCCTCTCAAGTCTCTGCACCCGGAGGGCAGGGAGCATGGGGGCTCTCGGGCTCATATTCCAGTTGTCCCCAGGAGCCCCTCCCTGGAAGGCTGAACTACAACCCAGGGAGGGTACAGAACTCCACGGAGACTGGAGACTAGGCGAGGGCAGGGCACAGGGGGTAGCTAAAGGATGGGGCTCCAGGAAAGGAGGGCAGGCCAGGGAGTCCCTGGTGAGGGAGGTGAGGGAGGGATGGGCTCCATGAGAGGTCAGGGCTGGGAAGTGGCTTCTCTCAAGCCAGGGTGGGAAGAGGCATGGGAAGCCTCGAGTAAGAGGGAGACTGTGCCTCAGGAATGCACGGGGCTCGCCACCCCATGCCCGAGCCTCCGTGGGTGCAGTGGGTGGGGGGCTCTGTGTGAGCTGGTTCTAAAGCCCTGGGCCTCAAGTGGCCTAGTGATGAGGCCCATGGTCCCTGGGGAGCCGGGGTGGAGGATCAGTGACCACCACCTGGGCCATCCAGTTCCTCCCTGAAAGGGGGCATCATGAGGAAGCTGCCTTCTAACCAGATGCTGAGAAGGCAGATGTGGGCAGAGAGTAGGTAACACTGCTGAGCCTGCTGCCTCAGGGCAGGTCCACAGGGAGTCAGGGCTCAGACATGGCCACAGACTGATGCTGACCCTTAGGTTCTATGCCTTCCGGCAAAGCAGAATCACCTAAGACAGACAGACACACAGACACACAGACACACACACAGACACACACACACACACACACACACACACACATGACTCCTGTAGGTTCTGCATCTGATCTCCTGAGAGGGGGCTCCTGGGAAAGAGGCCAGACCAGCTCCCTTAGCCAGGGACCCTGAAGGGAAAGAGTGGACAGGGTCCATCCCAGGCCTATAGGGAGCTGCCATGGCGGGGTCAGGTCTGGCAGCCCAAGAAATCCTGAGAGCTGGTACAGACCGCAGGCCAGTCAGGGTCAGAGAAAGGTGCCCGGAAGGGAGCGGGTGGGCGGGTGGCGCCCAGGCCCGGGATGTGGTCAGGCCACAGGCAGCTGCTTCCCAAAACCAGAATAGCCCAAGACTTACACAACCCGCGCCCCAAACAATCCGGCTGCCTGCCTCCCCAGCCCCTCCAGGCTTCTCAGTGCCCCCTGCTCCTCAGCCCAGGCTGAGACCACACTTTGGGCAAGGTCACCCCGTCACACCCTGCCTCCTCCTCCTGGGCTCTGCTCTTGCAGCCCCACCTGTTGGCTTTCCAAGAAACCTGACCTTCCCTGACCCACTGACCTCCTGACCAGCTCACCCCTAGCTCACCCCTAACTCCTGCCACCCGGGAGCTCCTCCCGGCACCCCACCCTTTGCCCTTTTGGCCCTTGTCTATGCCACCCTTTCCAGACCTCCAGCAGAGTTTGTAAGGGGAGCAGGCAAGGGGATGGGGTGGGGAAGGGACTCTCCTGGGCCTAGTAGGGGCTCTCTGGGGGACCCTGGGTCCCTGCTCACTCACTCCCCAACCCCTGCTCTATCCACTTGGGCCTGTCCCGCCCCAGACTCTGTCTGCTTCCCCCAAGCGAGACAGAAACTCCTGGTTTCACAACCTCCTGTGGAAGCCCCTCTCCCCCTCCAGCGCCCACCCCATCTCGGCTAGCCTGAGTCCTAACCCTGCCACCCTGTGTGTCCGAATTGCAGATTTCTTCACAAACTACAGACCCCCACAGATACCCACATCTTCAAACTTCCCAGAACCCCCCAGCTTCAGCCCCATGGCTGACTCTCTCTTCAGCAGTGGGATCCTCGGCCCGGAGCCACCCCCAGCCCCCTCCATCATGACCCACCTCCCGGGACACAACCGCCTGCAGGTGAGCTCCCACCACCCCATCGACCATGCCCAGCTCCCCTGAGAGCCGGCTCTGGCTGTGGCCCTGCCCGTGTCCAGGCTGTCTACAGGAACTTCCTGAAATCCAGGTCTGGAGCTGGCCAATCCAGAGAGACTCTGGGAGGGCCATGTAGCAGCACAACTGGACTGGTATAGGTGGGGGAAGGCCCAGGGCATGAGAACCACACAGCAGGGCACTACCTGGGGCTGGGCTGCTCTGGAGAGCTTTCTGGAAGAGAGCAGGGAGTTCTGAGTCTTTGTGAGCCTCAAGTGTGGACAGAGGAGACTGAGAGAGGGCAAGCCAGGTGGGAGGAACAGCAGGAACCAAAGCATGGAGGCAGGAAGTTCACAGATATGTAGGAAACAGTGAGTCTACCATCTTGGTTCAGAGGTCACGCTCCTGTTTCTGTGTGAGAAGGCTTTTCCCTCCAATCTCAGACTTTGAGGTACTATCCTAGTTGGTCACTGAGGGGTCTGTCTCCTCTGCCAGGAGCTCCCCCCTGGAAGAGCTAGTTTTTGCTCACCTCTGCATCTTGGTACCTCGCATAGCCCAGGCACAGGGCACCACTCAGTCAATGTTTGTCCAATGAGTGAACAAGAGGGAGAATGAGTGTGTGAATGGATGGGTGTACTGGTGAGTGGACAACTGCATTGTCAATGATGGCGCATGGGTGGGTGAGAACAGGTAGATAAGCGGTTGGTTGGATGGGTGGGCTGGTGGGTGGGTTCATAGACACCAAAGATTGATAAATGGGCTGGTGAGGGAATAAATGGCTGGTGAAAATGCAAATGTCGAGTGGATGGCTGGATGGATTACAGATGGGCTGGTGGGTGAGTGAAGGAAATATGGGTGGCTCGGGTATTAGCCATGACTCCATCCCTAGGAGGCTGCTGTTGAGATAGGGAGATGAAGTAGCTCAAAGATGACAGAAGACATAGGTGGATGGATGGATGGATGGATGGATGGATGGATGGATGGATGGATGGATGGATTGGTGGATGAGCAAGTGGATGGATGGACAAACAATGGATTAGTGGGTTGGTTACCAGATGGGTTGGTGGTTAAGTTAGTAGATGAATGGATAAACTATTTGGCAGATGCATGGGTGGGCAGGGAGACTGATGATCTTGCCTAATTTGTGCATAAATGTAGTCTACTCCTTTTTCCCATTAGATTATAATTTCTGTGTGTGGGGTGGGGGTTGTTTTTAAAGGCAGGGATCATTTCTCCCATGTGGCCCTGGCCACAGCTCAACCAGAGCAGGAGGCTGCTTGGGTTGGCTGCAGGGAGCCCTGTCCCCTGCTCTTAGTGTCTGTCTCCCCAACTAGGCTCGGAACAGCTGCCCTGGCTCCTTGGACCCCAGTGCCTTCCTGAGCTCTGACTTCCTCCATCCTGAAGACCCCAAGCCCAAGCTCCCACCCCCTCCTGCCCCACCTCCTCTCCTCCAGTACCCTCCCCCTGCCAAGGTGCCAGGCCTGGAGCCCTGCGCCCCGCCCTCCTTCCCGCCCCTGGCTTCGCCCTCTGCCTTGCTGCAGGAGGATCCCCTCTTCTCTGCCAGGTTTCCCTTCGCTGCAGTTCCCCCTGCCCCAGGAGCATCCCTACTGCAGGCTCCCACAGCCTTCCCACCCGTGCAGCCTGCCCCAGGCCCTGCCCCTGCGGCCTTCCCCTTAGACCATCTGCCCTCGGGGTACCCAGAGCCAGCCTTGGGCCCTCACTTCGCAGTGCCTCAGGGTGTGCAGCCCCGAGGCAAGCCCCCCACCCCATCCTCCAGGGGACGGAAGGCCTGTGGCCCCACCTTGGCCCCTGCCACTGTCAGAAGCAATAACCCCTGCCTCACACAGCTGCTCAGGAGAGGTGAGATGGAGGGGCAGGGCCTGGAGGGAGGGGGTGGGGATGAGGGGGCGACCTTGGGGTGGGGGCTGGGAGAGCCCAGGGCGAGTTCCTTCCAGGGTGGACTTAGCAGGTGGGCTGTATGTGAAAGGGGTGGGCTTGCAGGAGGGGGGTCTTGAGCCACCATGGGCTTGGGCCAGCCCCAGCAGCCCTCACGGTCCTGCCTGTGCACAGCCAAGCCTGAGCAAGCCCTGGAACCACCGCTGGCACCCAGCGCCCTCCTGCGGGCCCCAGGGTCTCCGGTAAGATGGCGGGCACTGGGAGGTGCGGGGAGCCCAGAGACTCTACCCCACTCTCTGCCCTTCTCCATCCAGCAGGAGACCATCTCCGAGTTCCCCTGTGCCTTCTTTCCTCCAAACCCGGTCCCTACACCACCCCGACCACCTCCAGCCCCGACCACATTGGCCCCTCCCAGGCCCCTGATTGTCCCCAAAGCAGAGCGGCTGTCACCTCCAGCACCTGGCGGTAAAGAGGGTTGCAGGGATTGGGGAATACAGGGGGTGGATGGAGAAGAAGGATAAAGGAGAACTAAACTATGTCTGGGGCCAGGATGAGAGGAACAAGGCAATGGGACCCTCTCCCCTGTGTGTTGGTCTGTCTGTGGGTCTGTCTCTGACACAGGCAGCGAACGACGGAGGTCAGGGGAGCTCAACTCCATACCAGCCCCAGGGGCGCTGAGTGTCAGCGTCTCTCCCCCTCAGCCCATCCTCTGCCGGGGCCGTCCTGACAATAACAAGGTGGGCATCATCCCCGGCCTGAGACTGGTTTGCTACCCCAGCCCCTCCCAGGCTCCTTCCTAGGCTCACTCCTCTGTTTGCTCCCCAAGACTGAGAACCGTCGCATCACGCACATATCTGCGGAGCAGAAGCGTCGCTTCAATATCAAGTTGGGGTTCGACACCCTGCACGGGCTCGTGGGCACACTGAGTGCCCAGCCCAGCCTCAAGGTGAGCCCCTAGCCACAGGGCCCCTTCCTGGGCGGCTCCCCCAGCAAGACCAGATCCCAGGTCCTCCAGACACTCTGGTAGGACCGCCTCCAGCACGGAGGCCCACACTGGTGGCACCCGCAGGTGAGCAAAGCAACCACGCTGCAGAAGACAGCCGAGTACATCCTCATGCTGCAGCAGGAGAGGGCGGCCATGCTGGAGGAGGCCCAGCAGCTGCGGGACGAGATCGAGGAGCTCAACGCCGCCATCAGGTAGGCAGGGACTGGGCGGGTGGCCGGGGTAAGGGGGACATGTCGCCACTGAACCCCCAGCCCCTCACCCGCTCCTCGCCCCTAGCCTGTGCCAGCAGCAGCTGCCCGCCACTGGGGTGCCCATCACACACCAGCGCTTTGACCAGATGCGAGACATGTTCGACGACTACGTCCGGACCCGAACACTGCAGAACTGGAAGTTCTGGGTAGTATCCTCACTTAGACCAGCGGCCTGGAGGAGCAGGGACAGCTGCAACGGAGGGCTGGCTACCTGGGCCCAGGGAAGGGGCTGTGGTTCTGCCCCCTGCTTTCAGGCCTTTGGCCAGCAGGATGGCCTGGAGGTGGAGCTAAAAGGGAGACTGAGGAAGGAGCCCTGGGCAAGAGCAGCCAAAGCCCGGCTTTCAGGAAGCGCTGGGGTGTCCTTAAGAACCCAAAATGGGTGGTGTGACACCTGAGAAGACATAGAAGCCACAGGGTCAAGGTCTTGACTGAGCCAGGGCAGGGAGCCCAGGGATACGGGACAGTCCAGCATGAGCAAGGGCTGTGGAAGAGCCAGAGAGCTGGACCACCATTGGCAGGATGGGAGGAGGCACAGCAGGAGTCCTTGGGGTCAAGGTTAGACAGTTCCGGGTTCTTCTTTCCCCTGGTTTGGGTCAGATGTCAAGGCTCCATGTGAGGTGGTGGGGACATCATGTGGACCACAGGCCTGCTCCTTGACCCGGGCCCAGTTCAGCGTCCTCATCCGGCCTCTCTTCGAGTCCTTCAATGGGATGGTGTCCACGTCAAGTTTGCACAGCCTCCGCCAGACATCGCTGGCCTGGCTGGACCAGTATTGCTCCCTGCCTGCCCTCCGGCCAAGTGCGTGAGCCCCCACCTGCCCACTCACAGAAGTGTCAGGTCTCAGGGGAGGGGGTTCCACCCTGCTCAGGCCCTGCTCCAACCTCCCTTCAACACAGACTAGGGTTTGGGGTCCTTCCACCAGGCCCCCTGGATGATCTTCCAGCTGCCAGGGTAACTACAGGGAGGTGTCTCTGTCTCTCCTCAGCTGTCCTGAACTCCCTGCGCCAGCTGAGCGCTTCAACCAGCATTCTAACTGATCCCAGCCGTGTGCCCGAGCAAGCCACAAGGGCAGTCACAGAGGGTCCTGTCGGCAGACCACTATAGTCCTGGCAGATGACGCTGAGCTCCAGTGACAACTTGCTGGGCACTCTCCTCCTGTCCCAGGCTCTGACTGGCTCCTTCCCTGAGGGTTGAACGGGACCCAGGTCTCCCACCTCCTAGAGGCCAAGAGGAGGCGTGTCCCTGTCCCTGCTGTACCACTGATGTGATTCTGGGCCACTCGCAGCCCCATCTCTGGATTTCTATTTCCATTCAGCAAAATGGGGATAGGGAAGGTTCAGCCACCAGATGACCCCAAGGCAGCTGTGACACTGGGGACCTAAGCTGCCAGCTCAGAGAAGGAGGAGGACAGCCCTCTTTCCCTGTCACTTCTGCCTGCTCCTCGACAGGGGCCACCAGCCTCAGTTCCTGAGCAGGGAGGCAGATAGGAGGGTCTCCCTCTGCTCCTGCTGCCAAGGTGCAGGGCTGCAGGAGGCTTCCCTTGGGTGAGGCCAGGGGGGGCCTGGTGCCAGGAGAGACCAGGGCGGGGGTAGCCACAGCAGGACAGGCATCTTGTGTGAGTGTGGCTGTGTGCGTGTGGGTTTTATAAATAATTCTTGATCAATAAAAGAAGAAAATGCCTGCCTGTGGGATGGCGGCGTGACTGTCAACGTGTGTCACTCTGGGTGGTCTCCTCTGCTGACAGTGGAAGGTGCCTTTGTAGAGGGCCATGTGGATTGTGAAATGATCTTAGCTTTTACTCTGAACTAGAAGCTGCTGGAAGGTTTTGGGTGGAGGTGAAACTTCTTTCCAGGAGCTCCTGGGTGCTGAGCTGAGAACGGGAAGAGGCAGGGGAAATCCACCCCCTGGAAGTCCTCCTCCATAGACAGCAGAAGGCTCCATGGGTTCCGTGCTTTTGGAGTTGGAAGACAGCAGAGCCAGGACCAAGGAGTGGAAGTGACCACCCTGCTGTGTGAGGGGACAAGCAGAGGGTGGACAGCTACTTGGTTGGGATGCCCTAGAAGGAACTGGTACTTCAGGTGTGGAGTCGCAGGAAGAGGCTAAGGCCCCCATGCTTCTCCTTCCTTCATTCATAAAACAAGCGTTGCCCCAGGGACTGTGGTGGGGCCAGGCCAGGGCGGTGGCTCTGTGGATTCTGTTCATTGCAGTATCCCTCCTCCTGCAGTTGGCATCCAAGCCTGCAGGTTGGGATCCTTTTACATCTTCTCAGAACTTCTGGAGACACTTTCAGATATAAATAGCAGACAGAGCTTTCTGTGGTCTTTCCCTTTCCCTCATTCATTTGAAAAAGAACACTAATTTGGCCATGGTGGCCATACCTGTGATCCCAGGAGGCTGAGGCAGGAGGAGTGCAAATTCAAGGCCAGTCTGGGCAACTTAGTGAGATCCTCTGTAACTTGGAAAGACCTTGTCTCAAAATAAAATACAAAAAGGGCTGGGGATGTGGCTCCATGGTAAAGTACCCCTGGGTTCAATCTCAGTATCAAAAAGAACAAAAGCAATAATTGTTGAACATTTCTAGCATTTATTATGTGCAGAGCATTCTTTTAAGTGATTTGGGTGTTAACTCATTTCATCCTTACTGGTGGGTTGTGAGGATTTCCCAGTAAATCTAAGCTGGGTGTGGCCATGCATGCCTGGAACCTCAGCTGCACTGGAGGCTGAGGCAGGAGGACTGCTTGAGCCCAGGGGCTCCAGGGCAACCTGGGCAGTAGACTAGGACCCCATCTCTTAAAAAAATGAGTAAAATATACAAAGCATCTACAATGGTGCCTGGTATGTAACACTATGTAAGTTATAACAATATTATTATCTGCATTTTAGAGCTGGGAAACTGAGGCACAGAAGGGTTAAGCCACTTGCCCTAGGTAAAATGGTTTGTGAGCCATCAACGCTGCTCCAGAGGTGGCTTCAGCCACTCTGCTGTGGGGGGTGGTGGGTGTGCCCAGCTTCTGGCGCTCTTTCCTGCTGCGTCCTTCCAGGACATTCTCCATAAGACATACCCTCGATCCTGCTCAAGATGGCTTCTTCCCTTGAAAGTGTGCTTACACTCGTTGGCTGTCTCCCCTCCTCTCCCATGTGTCCATCGGACCCTGCCCAATTTAGGCTCCCCCTCCTCCTAGAACCCCTAAGCTGGACTCCTGCCTCCACTCTGCTCCCACTGAGCTCATTTCCGACTGAGTCTCTGCTTGAAAAATCCAGGTGCGCTTCTGGCTTCCTCTGGGCCCTTGGCTTTCTTGAACCATTCTCCCTCCAGACGGCTCTTTCTCCCTAACAGTGCCTTCTGGGTTTCTGCTGCCTCTTCCTCAGCCTGTCCTGCCCTGGCTCCCTTTTCCTCTTGCTCTGGGGCAAATGCTGGGCCTTGCTCTGGGGGAAGCCCCTTCAGCCTCTCTGCTAAGGACCTCCTCCTCCATGTCTATCTCTGCTTCTCCCTAGAGCTATATACAACCACATGGGCCGCCCTGACACCTCCTTCCAGATGTTCTCCAGCTCCCTTGAATTTGTGGTGACTTGAGCTGGTCCTCTCTGTTCTTGGGACAGGAGCCATCACCCAAACTTGTGTGGGCTTGAAGCAGATATCTTCAGCCCTTTCCCACATCCCACTGCCCTGTGCTACCTCTTTCTGAGGCCTGGCCAGTTGACTAAGCCTTTTCCTGTCAGCCATCCCCTGGTCCATAAAACATCACCTTTCCATCTACTCTAGCATTTGCCTTCTGTGTCCCTGCCAGCTGCTTCTCAAACTGACCTGTGTGATCGAATAACTTGGGGTGCTTCAAAAAAATCTTCATGCCCTGATCCAGCCTGAACGACTCAGATCAGAATCCCAGGTGTGATGCTTAGACACTGGCAGTTTTGAAAGTGCTTTCAACATTCAGCCAAGGTCAAGAACTCTAATAGAAGCTTTCAGCTGTGAATAACGTGTAGCTGGGGCTCGGATTAGTTCCAATCAGAGGTTTTGCTTTATTTTCTGGTACTGAGGATGGAAGCCAGGATCTCATACAAGCTAGGTAAGTGCTCTGCTGCCGAATTATACTCAGCCAGAGGTTCTTAAACTTTACTGTGCAACAGAATCAACTAGGGAGTTTGTTAAAATACAGATTGCTGGGCCTCACCTCTAAGTTTCCCAGTAGCAGGTCAAGGATGGAGTTTAAGAATGTGCATGTCTGGTACTCCTGGACCACACTTTGAGAACCACTATCTATGTGGTTTTTTTTTTTTTAATTTTAATTTGTTACATATGACAACAGAAAGCATTACAATTCATAATACACACATAGAGCACAATTTTTCGTATCTCTGGTTGTACATGAAAACCACTATTTAAATAATGAGGAATCTGATTACTTTGTCTAACACATGCTTGCCCCTGTGGAGGCCAGCCTTCTGAGCACATGTTCAAGGTGCAACTTCCCCCAGCCTCCTTTCTCCACAGTCTCCCTCCCTTCATATTACAAGCGGTTATGAGTCTTTTTGGGTCTTGGGCTGCAGCATCCTACTTTGCCCTCACAAGGCATTATCCTCCCACAAGGGAGGCAGGTTGAGACTCCTTCCCTACCCAGAATTCCCTCCCTCCCTCTGCCTCACCTCTCCATATGCTGACGCTTGAAGTTACAGCTTGACTGTACAGGTCAGCCAAGGCCCCCTGTCCTTGGCATCCTCTCCCTGATCCACCTAGCTTTGTGTCCATGGCTTCCAAATGGGCTACAGCATATGAGGGTTAGCACAAGGCTTCATGGGAGGAGTGTGGATCTTGGAGCACAGCAGAACTAGGTCTGACTCGGGATTCTCTCCCTACTTCCTTGTTGATCTGGGGCAAGTTACTTGACCTGATCCTGTTATTTTTTTCCTGAGTCTGATTAAAACTAAATTATTTCATAACATCACCTATTTTTTTGTGGGGGGGTAGTACTGGGTATCAAACCCAAGGAGGGATTCATGCATGCCAGACATGCACTCTAGCACTGAGCTACATCCACAGCTCTGACATCACCTGTCTTAAAAGCCACTGCTGTGAACGGATTTTGTAGCCTTGCCTGAGCTGTACAAAGAGGGCTGCTCTTGCTTTTCTTTGTCCCATATTCATGAACAAGTTCCCAGGTTCTCTCCCTATTTGTGCCACCTTGGGAACATCACCCGACTTCATATAGTCTGTCTGCTAATCAGTGGAGACAACGTGGGATTAAAGAAACCCAAAATTGCTGGATCAATAAATGTCCCATGCAATATGCTTTTAAAAGTTAAAGCTTGGCCTCTAGATGGTGGCGAAAGATGGTGGTTCATGGCCATGCCTACACTTCTAAATAGCAAGTCAGGGAAGAAAAGCCCCAGGAGGCTCTGAACACCCGTCTCCTGGCACTCCCCACCCCACTGCCCACAACTGAGTCAATGTCAGTTCCCTGCAAAGGACAAAAGGGAAGGAAATGAAGCTGCTCCATTTGCCTTCTGACTGGATCTGTTTCCTCACCCGAGACTGCGAGACTGCGGCTGTGTCTGTCAGTCAGCCTGTGGTAACCTGTCTCCTCAGAGGGTCCTTATAAATTAAAGCTGCAGGGCTTGGATGGTGAGGAAAGGCAGCTCCCTGGTGGAGATGGAAATATTAGAAGCTGGAATACTGATCCTGGTACTTCAATTTGCTCTGGGCTGTGGGGCTAGGAGTCCAAGGAGTATGACCATACTGGGAATATCCCCTTTCCAGCCATGCAGGTCTAATCCAAATTCTCTCAGTCTTTTTTGTCCTTTTTGGCAAAATCTGAAAAAAACCTCTGTAGATTATTGTATCAGTGTCAAGTTCCTGGTTGTGATCTTCTACTACAGTTTTGCGAAATGTTACTATTGGATGAAACTGAGTGGAAATGTCCTTGGGACCTCTTCATTTTTTCAACTACCTGTTGATTCTATAATTATTATTATTATTATTATATTTTGATTAAGAAGCTTTCAGAGGCTGGGGGTGCTCAGTGCTTGTCTAGCATATGTGAGGCCCTGGGTTCAATCCCCAACACTGTAAAAAATAAAATCTGCTTTTCAACTTCCTTTCCCCTCCCCAGGCCATCCCCAGCCCAGGCTCTTTTCAACTCCTTATATCCTTGCAGCTACTTCCGGGTTTCTCTTTTTGTCTTTACACATCCAGAGAATCCAGACATGGATTTTGCCCCACTGCCTCCTGTGATCCCACATGCTGGATGGAGCTGGCAGTTGAGGCCTTGCAGACTTTTGGACCTTGTCTGCCATCTTTTTATCGTGTTCATGCCCTGCCTCTCTACAACATCCCTGTTCTTCAGGTCTTTGCTAGGATGCTCCCCGCTCCGATGCCAGGACTACCCTTCTGCCCCTTCAGTAACAGCAAGAGCCCATCTAACTTTCACCTGTTGCAAAGAAGACTCTCCCACGAGTCAAATGCGAATAAAGGCCCTGCTCTGCTTCCTTGAAAGGATCCAGTGTGGCAAGGTCAGAATAAGCCTTTAATAAACTTTTATCAGCAAGTTACTCAAGATAGGAATGACGAGGACCTGCAGATCTCACTACCTGCACCCTCAGCATCTGCACGACCTCCGCAGCCCGACGCCCGCGGATCACCAGGGTCCGCCCTCAGGACACGCCCACACCTGGCACCGCCTCGCAAGAAGCACCCAAGGCCAGGCCCCGCCCT